TCAATTGTAAGTTTTCTAGGCCTAGAAAATAAAGTCTCACTGACTCCACTTTAGATTAGAAAGACTTCATATTAATAATTCAAAAAAAAAAAAAAGGGAAGAAGAAAGGGGAGGAAAACCCATCAATATATGGGACAAAGAGCAAAATAAAACTGTTTCAGTGCTTTGGTAGAGCACAAGTGGCCAAACCTCACGGGACATCAAAAATACTTGGAGAAACATTTTAAATACCAATTCTCGAGCCACAAATGTGGAGAGTCTGATTCAGGAGGTAGTGGCAGAGTACAAGAATGTTTCTAAACTGCTTTTTTTTTTTTCCTGATGTGCAGCAGATTTGAGAATCATTAGTTTAGACTTTGACATCATATAATAATAGACTTATTTTCTAGACGACTAGAGTTTCTAATAGGTTCATTAACACGTATAATAATATAAACTTATCCTTTAATGTCCTGGTGTTATTTAAATAAACATTGGAAAACATAATCATGGACTCCTGTAAAGTATCTACAAATATGTACCTGGGTTCATCAAATATTTCAGATATAGAATTTCTGCATATGTGAATAAACATACACGTGTCTCTCCTAGTGCTTAAACCCAGTAATCTTTTCCAGTTTTTTCCATTTAAAAGTCATACTGTAAAAACTTAGCTTTTCATTATATGTATCACATATTTTAATGAATCAATCTGAAATTTTCTTGGTAAAGTGGAATGTTTATGTTTAATCGTTTTAAATGTATGTAACTTACCCACGGGTCACATGAATTTAATGCATTTTTAAATCTGTTCATGCAGCCATTCTGTAATGACTGGACGCCTATTATTTCACTACTAGCAGACCACAGGAAGAGTGCAATTGCTGTTAGCATGCTTACTTCATCAGGTGCAGGCATAGAGTCTTCTGAAAATGAAAAATGAAAGCAATGGGTGGTTTCTAAAATGTTTTGGAATTTCGATCTTAAACAACTCTCTGACCTCAACATTTATAGCAGTGTGTGCCTCAATCTAATTTAATCCACAAATAACTGTATGAAGTCAAATATATAAAGTTAAATGATTATAAGATATTCTAATTAATTAAATAACTCAGAGTAGACTTTGTTGGTGATATCACCTTTCAACTTAGTAAATAAGAAAACTTGTAAATTCCACACAACCATAAAAAAAAATCTTGCACAGTTTCCTGAAGACAACATTCTTACAATTTTAAGGAATTTCTTGCTATTATAATCATTTAGTTAGGAATATATACAACTTTAACCTAACAAATATTGTGATTACCATTTCTCCAACAACTGAATTTATCAACACTTTCTGTGTGCATTTGGGCTGACTTGGCAACTATAAATACCCAATGATAACTAGTACTTTATTAGGATTATGAACATATATGATATGCTAACATTATCTCATGATGAGAATACCAGCTTTTGTAAAATAGAATGGGCTAAGAACAACAGTCTAGAAAAAGTCCATTAACTTAATATAAAGGAAAAAAAGTTGAGAAAAGAGAAACTTAAAATTTGAAGGATTTAACCAACTTATAAAAACCTGAGTTATAAATGTTAAAAACCAGAGAACTCCACAGTAGGAATGTTATTCTAGGTGAAATAAGAACAATCTCTAATTCAGAGTTTGTGATATTACAAGCAACTTTTTGTCAGAAAATTATTATTTTATTTTTAAATTGTGACTTTAAGAAGATTGGACATCCAGGCTGGGTGCAGCAGCTCACACCTATAATCCTAGCACTTTAGGAGGCCGAGGTGGGAGAATTCCTTGAGGCCAGCAGTTTGAGACCAGCCGAGGCAACACAGTGAGATACCAACAACCAAAAAAAAAGACTGTGTAGTGAGCTGAGATGCTTTGAAGGGTTAATGAATAAAAAGGTATAATGCAATTATAGTTGCTAGGGAACTTTAATGAACGCTATTTGCTTCTGTACAAAGCTTGCGGTTAGCAATTGTTAGAATTCAGGGCCTGATAGCCCTACGCAAAGTATGTCAAGGGTTCAACTTATGATCGATGTGTAACTGGAAGAATGTTCTGTGTTTAATCTATAACTTAGATTGTGCTTTACTTCAATGATTGTAATTTGTCTTTGGGTACCAGAGATCTGTGAGAACAGCCAGATCTCAGGACTCTGTGTCATTGAAATATTGATTGTACATTCTGCTTTTGTTTCCTTTGTTTTAGAGTACCTGTTCTATGGCACGTAGCCCCCCAAATTAGTATAAAATTCCTGTAGAAGCAAAAGACTGGTGCCATCCTCTCGTACTGCTTTTACGCGGGCGGAGGTGGTCGCTGGCCAGCTAATAAAGACTCTCAATTTGGCTCCATTAAATTCTCTCGTGGTCTGTTCGCGCCCTCCACACTACAACAACTGGATATCTAAATACGATTCTCTACTAAAAAGGGCCAGGGCCTTTTGGAGAATAGACTGATTCTAGAATAGAAACAGGGAAAATACAAGATAAGTCTGCTACATCTGGGTGCCAGAAAGTAAGGAAGTGCTCAAGAAATAACGGGGACATGTCAAAGTAACAGTAATAGACTCACTGAATTAAAGAAAGAATCATGAATCTGTACTGATAGTAATAAATAAATATATAGTGAAAGGAGGGCAAAGAGAAAGCTCTTCCTTTCAGTAGATTGCCAGCTAATAAATGTAAAAGGAATAAAAAATATAGGTTAGAAAATTATCATTTTGCAACTATAAATGATTTAGGTACAATGGACGCTAAAACCACCATGTGAAAGTTTGATGGGGAAGAGACAATTGAGAAAGTCTTACAGTATCTCCCCACAGATTACTTATTAATTATGAAACGGAAAAATGGCAATTTTATAGAGGAGAAGCATAGCAAATATCATCTTAATAAAGTTATTAAAGTCAAGATTTCCAATAATGGGACAAAGAAACATTATATGTCTCCTTATATGATTTACTGAGAAAGACACATTAGTTATATGGTATTCCTGCCAAAAATGCATAAATTGAATCTAATCAGTTTTACTGAGGAAAAAAATCAGCCAATTCTAAATTGAGAAACATGCTACATAATAGAGAGCCTGTACTCTTCAAAAACATTAATGTCATGAAAGATAAAGGCTGAGGAACTGCCCCAGATTAAAGGAGACTAAAGCAATATAATGACTAAATAAAAACAAAAGAGTTGTATGAAGGTCATTAGGAGGACAACCGATGAAATTTGCAAATGAATAATAGCATTGTATCAATGCTAAATTGCCTAAATTTGATAATTCATCTGTGGTTATGTAAGGGAATATCCTAGTCATGAAGTATTCAGGAGTAAAGAGTCATAATGACTTCAACATATACTCAAATAGTTCAACAAAATTAGTAAAATAATATTTACAATAATGGTAAGTAGATTACATAGAGAGTAAAAACCCGTATGTGGCAAAACGTTAACAACCGGTGAATCTAGGAGAATGGTACACTGGAGTTCACTGTGCTATTCTTGCAACTTTTTTTTTGGTAACAGTCTTGTTCTGTTGTGCAGTGGTGTGATCATAGCTCACTGCAACCTCAAAGTCCAGGGCTCAAGCAATCCTCCTGCCTCAGCCTCCCAAGTAGCTGGGACTATATAGGCACATGCCACCATACCCAGCTAATTTTTCTATTTTTTTGTAGAGATGGGATCTCGCTATGTTGCTCAGGCTAGTCTTGAACTCCTGGCCTTGGGCGGTCCTCCTGCCTCGGTCTCCCAAAGTGCTAGGATTACAGGCATGAGCCACATGCCCATAAAGGAAAAAAAGTTGAGAAAAAAGAAACTTAAAATTTGAAGGATTTAACCAAGTTATAAAAACCTGAGTTATAAATGTTAAAAACCAGAGAACTCCACAGTAGGAATGTTATTCTAGGTGGAATAAGAACTATCTCTAATTTAGAGTTTGTGATATTATAAGCAATTTTTTGAAAATTCTTATTACAAGAAAATTATTTTATTTTTAAATTGTGACTTTAAGAAGATTGTACATCCAGGCTGGGTGCAGCAGCTCACACCTATAATCCCACTGCGCGCAGCCAAATTTCTAGGTTTTGGTTTAAGTTCTTCTGGTCTGGGTTAAAATCTTTATACAGTTGCTTATAAACATGATATTTAATAGATATAATAGAAATATAATCAAAATGAACATACAATCATGTAGGCTGGGCACGGTGGCTCACGCCTGTAATTCTAGCACTCTGGGAGGCCGAGGCGGGAGGATCAGTTGAGGTCAGGAGTTCAAGATCAGCCTGAGCAAGAACGAGACCCCGTCTCTACTAAAAATAGAAAAATTAGCCAGCATGGTGACACATGGCTGTAGTCCCAGCTACTTGGTAGGCTGAGGCAGAAGACTCACTTGAGCCCAGGAGTTTGAGATTGCTGTGACACCACAGCACTGCAGCCCAGGTGACAGAGAGAGATTCCGTCTCAAAAAAAAAAAAAAAAAATACTATCATGTATTTTATAATTTTTCCCACTGCCAGTTATATTTTTCCCACATTTTCATTATGTAAAATAGATGTAATAGGTAATAAATAACCTCAAACATAATTTTTTGATGAGTAAGGTCAAAGAGTACGCAATCTTAAAGGCTCTTTGTACATGCTACAGAATTAATTCCCTGAAAGTTTAAACCATTTTAAACTACTTTCAGCAAAGTATGAAAATGTTCTCCTGGTACCAATTCCAGCTGTACATCGTCAAAAAAAAAAAAAAATCAGTTTTGCAAGTAAAAATTTATATTACTCTGTTTTTGTTTACATTTCTTTACTTACTAATGTGGCTGATTTTCTTTTATATGCTTGGTGGCCATTTCTATTTTCTTTTTTACTAACCTGTGTTCTTTCTTCTTTCATCTATTGGTTGTTAAGTGAATTTTTTCTAAGATCTCTTTGTATATTAATGGTAGCAACACTGACATAAATATTTTTGTCAGTTCTTCAGCTCTTTTTTCAGCTACAATTTAATGTAAAATATTTGGATGGGCAGAAGTTAATTTCTGTATAGAGCAATACATTGATATTTTTCTCTGTGATATTGTTCACTGACTTACAGTTAACCCTTTGCCATTCTGACATAAAAGATTCACCTATATTTTGTTTTCCAATTTTTAAAATTTTACATTATCATTTTAATTTATTGGGCATTTTTTGTGATTCATGATATAAGGGGAGAGCCTAACTGCAATTTATTTCTCAAATAGCTAACTGACAGGAACCATTTGAAGGATAATGAATGTGTCTTTATTATGTGTCACATTCTCATGTAAATAATTGTTTCAAAGCAACCTGTTTTCTTTGACTGCCCCATCCATTGTTTCTTGGGCCCACTCCACAGTTTTAGACAGTGTGGAAATTTTTTAACAGGCGAAATGACAAATGTTTCCTTACTATTCTTTTTTTCAGTTCTTTCACATTTTCTTTACAATAGAAATAAAACTTGAAATAAAAAGTCAAACAGAAGAAAAATGGGGAAAAATGTGAATAAATATTCCCTCCCTAAATTAAACACAAACACGAAAAATGCTTATACTCACTAGGAAAATGAAACGTGCAGATTAAAACACTAAGATAGTATATTTTACCTATCATACAAAATCTAAAAGTCTGACAATATTGGTAAGGATTTGGGGAAATAGAAATTATCATACACTGCTGAGGGCAGTGTAAATTCATATAGCTATGGTGGAGGGCGATTTGGCAATGCCTGATAATAATTTTATTTTATTAATTTTATGAATGAGAAATATTAAAAATATCCATTGATGGAGAAATGAATAATAATTGATAAATACATATGACAGAAAACTGTACAGGAGTTAAAAGAATGAATGACAGTTTTACATATTCACATTAATAGATCTAAAAAGAATTTACTGTTGAGTGAGAGAATAAAAGTAGACCGAGATGATATTACTTACATAAATTTTAAAATACAAATACTATATATTGCTCACAGTTATCTCACTCTATATATAATGTATACACATATTAACATATATTTATTAACATAAATGATATAAGTTAACATAGAAAATATCCCTATTTATATAGATATTTAGAGAGTAAAATGTATTAATATCAACATTGTGGTTCCATTTCAGAGTATGTTGGGGTAGTGACAGGTATTTAAATTTTCTCTCCTACCTTATTACTTTAATTGTAAAAAATAAGTTGAAGCAAACATAAATATATTAACACATGTCAATGCTGCTGAGCATAGAGCCTTTTTTTTTTGAAAACCTCCTAATATGTATATAAGTACTAAGACAAGGGCATTTAAAGTCAACAATCCAGAAAGGGGTATTGAACTTCACACACGAAGATTAATACCCCTTCACAACTAGAACACCTCTCTGAGTTGATTCAATGTTATGTAGCAGTTTTCTGACAAGCTTATTCACCTAATGAATTAAATAGGAAACAGATTAAAAATTCTTAAACTCTAATAGGTTACCTGGTTGAGAATATTCCAGGATGCATGCAAGAGTGCTACGAATTAGAGCTGTCCATTGTTTTTGAGTTTCCTCAGTTTTGGCCATTGAAAGTGTCACAATACTTTTAATCCCTTGAAGAGCTGCACTGACTGGTGGAGGAACCTGATTATCTGCAGACTTTATTGCTGTGTCTTTCAATATTCTTGCAATTAAGAAGAGAATTGTGGGCAGGATTGTCATACATCCTGAAATAAAAACAAATCAGATTACTTCATAATTATTTCAGTTCCCATATTATAGTTGTTTCCACTGCTTATATTTTTTGCAATTGATTGTAGTTTAATATTGTTCCTTTTCCTTGTTTTTATACAAAATTTACTGCATTGCTATTACCATAATTCAATGTTTGAAAAAGAAAATAAGAAAGTGCCAGGTTATTTCAAAGAAGACAAAATTGGTATCTTCTTTTTTTCTAACTAGCCTTGTTTTTATTACTTCCAATATTTCACCTATTTAATATTTCATGCCCTTCATAATGAAAATGAGAAAGGAAGATAGAAAAACAGAAGGAAAACTCTACAATATACTTGGAGAAGCATCTAAGTGATTCCATGAATCTTACAGCAATTCTAAGACACATAATCAACCCTCAGTGTACCAAAGTCAACCTAATCAAGCCAGGAAAATAAAAACTATTGGGCTAAAGAAAGAAGAAATGAAAGAACCCTAGAATTTTGAGATGAAAGAAGTGTAAGGTCATCAAATCAACCTCCTGCTTAAGGAAGGAGTCCCTTCACCACTCTCACATACAGCCATTGCAGCATCTGCCCACAAGGCTCCAATAATGTACATATGCACGACAACTCTAAGAGCTAGAAAGGTCTTCCTTGTGTAGAGATGGAATTTTCCTATATATTTACTGATACTATTTTTACCTTCCAGATAAAACAGAGGGAAAGTATACTTTAACTTCCAATAGTTCTTCAGTATCTGCAGATAACTATTATCTATTTTAGCCATATTTCTTGAAGTGTTCCATAGAGTTGGCTGTCACTCTTCTGACATTTATTAATGTTTTTCAGTGTTACTCAAGAGTGGCAACCAGATCAGAAAATAAAGTGTTTAGTAATTCTACTTTATATCTAGCTGCTGACATTCAATGTCTTTCTCCAATCTGTAGTTCCACCTCTTGTTTGAAACATATTTGAAAAGAGCACCTTAGGTTTGTAATTTTTTGTATCTTTAATCTTTATAGGCTCTTAAAGGTAAATAAAACCTTAAAAGAGACCAATTTCTCATTTTACACTTGAGATTTAAGAGGAAGTAAGTTATAACAGTGCTTACAATCAAAGGCAAGCTCATCTTTCTCTACTGTAATATATAACATTTTTCCAAATACTGATCAATACTATACCAGCAGGTGAACACAGGGATGGTAAATCAGAGAGTATGGTAACTGTGGCTGCCACCAAACGAGCACTTTCTTCTGACAGTCGAGTTTTAGTGGCTGTATGACTTGGAGAGTCCGACATCTTGGTACTGAGATGTGGCATATGCCGCACTAAAATGAACATCAACAGCTCCATAGTTGCAAACACAAGCGATTTTCCAGGAATGAGACCACCGCTGTCACCTCCTTCTCCTAATACAGTACAGGACTCTTTTTCCATGTCATCTTCATCTTAGGTAAAAGATAATTTGGTGAAATCTCCAGCAAAAAAGTAACAAATAGTATATAAAACAATATAATAAGTACATTTAAGAAATTATTTCAAAAGGATTTACAAGTAAATGTCTAACTGATGCCACACATGTCTTTCTCTGTATAATTCTCTGCCTTCCTAGAATTCTGTGCACTGACCGCTCCTTAAAAGTACATGTAAAATCCTTATTAGGTATTTTTATTAGCTATCTATTTCATAATAGGAATAATACAAATGCTAGGTTGAACCAGATGAAACTGACATTTTTGAAGGTGAAAAACAGTCAGATATCAGCAATTGCATTTGGTCTTTTCTTTTTTTTTTTTTGTGACAGAGTCTCTCTCTATTGCCCAGGCTCGAGTGCTGTGGCATCAGCCTAGCTCATAGCGACCTCAGACTCCTGAGTTCAAATGATCCTCCTGCCTCAGCTACTGGGGAGCTGGGACTACAGGTGCACACCACCACGCCTGGCTAATTTTTTCTATTTTTAGTAGAGATGGGGTCTCCCTCTCACTCAGGCTGGTTTTGAACACCTGACCTCAAGTGATCTTCTTGCCTCAGCCTCCCAGAGTGCTAGGATTATAGGTGTGAGCCACCGCGCCCAACCTCATTTGGTCTTTTCTAATGAAAATAAAATCAATTTCAATCTTCTAAATGCATGATTAACTTTTTTATTAAAACCTTAATAAATATTTAAAAAATTAGAGTACAAATAAAATTTACTACTAGTATAATTTCTAGTGCTTACTTAGAGTGTTTCTTTTTTCTTGCAAATAATCCTGAGCAGCTCTTACTATCTGTTGTACAACTCCAGTAACCAATAGCTGGACGGATGATGGATTCCAGGTCAACAGGAGGCGGTGCAAAACACTCAGCAACTCAACACCAATCAGCTATTATAAATAAATACAAATAAATTTAATTATTTTAATTTCAAAAGATAAATTTGTATTATTAAAATGAGAAAATACACATGTAAAAATATAGAAATTTGGCAGTTAAAATTAATATATAGGACTATGTAACACATAAGAACATTATAACAATCTTGAGAAATGGTCACATTTTATCCAAACGTATTTTCAAGCAACAAAGGACTTTATTATTTACATATTTAATCGAGTTTTATATTCAATGATGATCATTCTCCTATCAGAAAGAAATACTCAGGCTAAACAGTACTGCCGGGGTCCAGTGCCACTACAATTCATAATTTGCAACCTACGCTGAATACCCAGAGTTTTGTACTAGAGACTGTACATTTCTAGTGAGTTTCTTTCCTATTCACCTCAGCAACTTTCACCACCTACTTTAAGCCTTTTACCATTTTCCACATCAAATCCACCCAATGAACCTAGGTCAAATTTCAAAGAGGGGGAAAAAAATCAACTACAACCAAAGCCATCTTTACCTCTTCCCTTAAGATCAAGCTTCCAGCCTCTTATCTGAGGCTGGTTAATCTTTCCTCATGGGCTCCCTATCCCATCCTATTTGACTTCCCAAGGATTCTTCAAAGATCTCAATCATATCTCATATGTCTTCAGCCTCTCTCTCTAGTTAGGCTACTCTCCTCGGTGTAAGGAAAACGCTCAAAAGTCTTTCTTATCTTATGTGTCCCCTATGCCTCCCAAAAGCCTCTGAGACACTTTTATCTACCCCACGGCCTCTATGTGTCCTGCTCCTTCCTTTCTCAGCCTAGATACTTCCACTTCCTTTAGCCTCTCATTGACTCTTTGATCTTCTACAATCTGGCTTCTGCCTAGAAAATCATCTGGGGTGGGGGTGGTCACCCATAACCTTTTGTGACTCTTTTTCTGTTCTTATTTATTGGGTTCTGTTTCTTTTGATACTGCTGTCTACCCTTCTTGAAACACTTCTCTCCCTTCTCGTTGGTAACTCTGATCTCATTAGGTTCTTCGACATATGCAGCAGTCTCCACTGCTATTTATTTTGCCCTTCTCAATCCTTAAATGCTATTTATCCCCAAGGTTCCAATCTTGGTCCTCTTTTCTTCCTCCTTTATTCAGTTTCCTAGGCTACTGTACTCATTATTTCTCTGGAATTATGAAAAAGAGCCTCATAACTGGCCTCCCTGTCTCCCTTCTCATGTCTCACAAACCAATCTCTACAAGGTTGGTAGAGTGATCCTTCTGAAATATAATCATATCATTCCTCTATTTAAACTTTTTTCTTTTTTTTTTTTTGAGACAAGGTCTCGCTCTGTCACCCCATCTAGAGTACAGTGGCGTCATCCTAGCTCACAGCTCAAACTCCTGGGCTCAAGTGATCCTCCTGCTTCAGCCTCCCAAGTAGCTGCGACTACAGGCACGTGCCACCATGCGTAGCTAATTTTTCTATTTTTTGTAGAGATGGGGTCTCGATTTTGCTCAGGCTGGTCTCCAACTCCTGGCCTCAAGCAATCCTCCTGCCTCAGCCTCCCAAAGTGCTGGGATTACAGGTGTGAACTACCGCACCCACCCTATTTAAATATTTTTAACGATTTCGTATCACTTTCAGGATAGGGTTTAAACTCCTTTACATACTGTAAAGAAATCTTCATGATTTGGTCTTTACTCACAGGAACCACAGTAAATGACTGCAGTGCTCATGAACTTGCCATGCTCTCTCATGCCTTCCAGTCTTTGCATTTGCTGTTCTTTCTGAGAGGAAAACCCATCCCTCTTGTGCTGCCTCACTAATTCCTCTTTCAGATTGGATTTAACCATTGTCTACTCTGAGAATTCATTCTTTGCTTTCCTATCATAATGCTGGGGTTCCTCCTCTCTATTCTAACTATACCCTTACATACAGTAACATAGCACTTATTACACTGTACTTATTTCCTAATCTAGGTATGGTAAAACCTGGCTATCTACAGCCTCAAACCACGCCTGAGATAGAACAGGCACAGAGTGAAACTAGTTGGATGAATGAATACAGTATGAATCAGAGTACTCTGACAATGTTAAAATTACAGGATCCAATTCAGAAAAAAAAAATCCATCCTCTTTTTGCCATTGTAAAACAACTTTTATATAAACAAAATATTACTAAATCTGACAAATAGCTAGCTGTGTGAGACATTATGTTAAAACTCAAACCATTGAGTTTAAATATAGCAGTCCTCCTTCATTCACAGACTAAATCTTACGTTATTTGTAGTTTAGCTGAGGCACAGCTTCAGGCTACAAGGTTGGGATACAAAAAGACTTAATCTGTGAATCTCATAACCACACAGCATATGATTTGTTTTGTTGTTGGTTAGCACCATGTGTAAAACTAATTTTGATGAAATAAAATGATATGAACTTTATCTGTTTGTGTTTTATGGAAAATTTCCCCAAGTGAAACCGGGTGGTAGTGGTGATGTCAAAAGAGACGGCTCCTATTATAAAAATAAAAGAATTCCTAATTTAAAAATTAAATAGGCCAGGCATGGGGGCTCATGCTTATAATACCAGCACTTTGGGAGGCTGAGGCAGGAGGATCTCTTGAGCCAGGAGTTCGAGACAAGCCTGGGCAACATAGCAAGACCCCATCTCTACAAAAAAAATTAAAAACTATCCGGGCAGTCAGTGGCACATGCCTATAGTCCTAGCTAATTGGGAAGCTGAGGCAGGAGGATTGCTTTAGCCCAGGAGTTCGAGGTTACAGTGAGCTATGATCGTGCCACTGCACTCTAGTCTGGGTGACAGAGCGAGACCCTGTCTCTCAAAAAAAAAAAGAAAGAGAAAATAATGAAAAATCCATGGTAACTTAGTTCGGTAACATGAATAAAGTCCCCTAAATATCCTATACATAAATTAGAGAAAGTAACTCATTAAACTTTAGATGAGTATGTGAGATGGTACAGAAAAAATTTCATTAAGAGATAAAATTTTATCAAACATTTATTTAACAGCCTTATAAGTTACTTTAGCCCTTTTTTTTTTTTGAGACAGAGTCTCGCTTTGTTGCCCGGGCTAGAGACTTTAGCCCTTTATTAGTAGAATCACTAACTGATACTGAAGGTATCCCTTACATTTTTAGTTTTATTTGACTACTGATGAGGAAGTCAAAGAAGGTATAGTGACTATCTCTAGTCCAGCTCTGCCTGGTCATCCAAGATTCAGTACAGCCAAATCTTGGATATTTATTTTATATTACATTAATTGTCATTAATATGTAATATCTAATATTTGTTTTCTATGTGAAAAAATTATCTTAAGCATACAACTAATTATTTATTATAGAAAAACACTGTACCTGATCTTCTGCAATATGGATTCGAGCGTAAGGAGAATCCAGCAAGGTGTGTAATGCCTGGAGGCATGCTGTAACATGTTCAATAGGCTCCTCAGGTCTAGGGGAACAAAGAAACTGTATACTCACACCTGAAACGTACAAAATAAAAACATGAGTTTTTCAATATAAAACACTTTATCTTGCTTTAACACCATATTTTTTCCTTTACTTTTCTCCTTTTTTTAATAGATTACCTTGACATACATACATTCATTCATTCGTTCAGTTATTTAGAGATGGGGTCTTGCTATGTTGCTGGGCTCAAGTGATCCTCCTGCCTCAGCCTCTCAAGTAGCTGGGATTAAAGGTGCGAGCCACCACACCTGGCTAACATATATTTATTAATGCCTTAAAGTAGAGTTCAGAATGGTTTCCAAGTTAAGCAGTCAAACTCAACATAAGGTTGTAGCTTTGTAATTAGGTTAGTATTCAAATTAGCTATGTGTTGAGAAAGGAATTCCCATGCCATTAGGCTAATTATGAAGATATTCTGTTTCGTATTTCTAGGATTTTTAAAAATAATACATTAAGAATAAATTATGAACATTATAAAATTATTTTTCATTAAATGGTTCCCAAACAATTTTTCATAATCAAAGGTTTTAAATGGCAAGCTATAGAGGCACAATATATATCACAGGTAACAATTGCTCTTAATTTGTATAAAGGTAAGGTCACTGTTTTGGAAGTTTTTCACATTTTCATTTATGAGATCTACTGATAAATTCTATAATTACACCTTATCAGCTGTGTTCCTTTTCACCCTCAAAAAATATACGATCACTAAAAGCTTCATTAGAATGTATAAATTCTTAAATGTTAAAAAAAAGTATCTATAAAGCAATTATAAATTAGGATTCATTTAAATTCACTTAAACTGTTTTTCTTCATGGGATCATCTGTTAAGTGACAAGTGAAAAGAAAACCTGTTGTTGCTCTGTGAGTGAACAGGACAGCTAAAATTTTTAAGGAGCAGTTTTTAATAATTTAATTTTTAGATTATAAATTAACAATTTATACGGCAAGGTGAAATCTTTTTATTTTTCCCTCTCTGAATTATGCTATATTGTACAAAACTTTTCCATAGCATTAAAATGAAAGACAAAGTGATACATCTTGAAATACATTAATATAACACACCTACCTAAAATCAGATGCATTCTGTCTTTGTTAATTTCTGGCAAAGACTTAGCGCTACCCGTTGCTCCTGATGCCTGGTTTAAATTGACAGATGTAGAACGTTTTTGTAAGCCAGATACTGCTGCTGCTTCCGTGGACTCGGAACATGTAAATCCTGTGCTATTTAACCAAAGTGCCACCGCATGGAGAATTGGGGCCCAGGAATTACGATAGTGAAGTCTAGCTGTATCAATAGTCTCAGGAGTATAAAATGCTCCACCTAAAAAACAATCAAATCAATTAACATTACTAGATTCTATTACAAGTGTTCACTCATTTGTGAACAATTAACTTAAAAATACCTATTACATACAAAAGAACAATCTGGCCAGAGAGATTCTCTTCTTTACAGAGCCACCAAAATTAATCACTTTCCCATAGCTGATGAACTGCGGTACCTGTCTCTTCCTCACTGATGCTAGTTTTCCAGTCTGTCCTCTGCTACTGCTGATGCCACCAAGTATCCTTACCTTTTCCTACCCTGTTGTCACGGGATTTACCTCTTCACTGTTGCCACTGGCTCTTAAAATCCTGTCACCCTTTCTTTCTACTATAACCATGGAACTCTGCTTCTTCTTTCTTCTTTCTGTTTTTCTCCCATTTTGCTATTCCTCCTCACCTCCTATTTCCACTACCAACACTGAGGAGTTCCTCATCTCTCTCCCGGCTGTTATGATGGATTAAGGAAGGAAAAAAAGGGGAAACTCCATTATTGGTATCACTGATACCTGGGAAGAGGAATGGGTTCTTTGAGTAAGAACTGATAATACAGTTTCTAAATATAAAAAAAATGTTAAAGATAATGACTATATTGATTTCAATAGGAAAACTAAAGTACAAACAATTTGCAAAGGACTTTAGGAACACAATTCATTGGTAGACGAGGAATTTATATAAAAATACATACACTGGCTGTACAGTAATATAGTTCATCATGGCTATGAATAACGACTTGTTATCCATAGTTATTTAGAGTACTCTAGCTCATAGAGCTATTATTATAAAACAGGGCTAACATGATTACTTCAGCTATCAAAAAAGCTTTATGTTATATCTTGAATCCAAAAATTCAATATGGAGAACATGGTCTAAATGAGACAATGCCAAGTTTAAGCCAACAGAAATTGAAGATGTTATTAGTGTTACTGTTGTTGCTAGTGTCTACCACGCCCATTTTGTGTAACTACTATTTTGAACTCCCTAAGAGCAAAATTCGGAATGCAATACTCACCATCTGGGGGGAGCTGACTAGCAAATTCAGCTGGTAAAGTCAAAAGTGCATAATCTTTTAATGCTGCCAACCACAGGCGGCTGAGTGTCGGCAGTTCAGGTTGTACCAGTGTTATTAAACTATCTGGTGGTAGTTCATCTATGGTACCATAGTCATCATCATCATCATCAGTATTTTTAATTGTTCTTTTTGGTTTTGACTCTGCTTCCTTTTTAATATT